GCTCTGTGTGTGTGTGTGTGTGTGTGTGTGTGTGTGTGTGTGTGTGTGTGGAGACCTTGGTCTTTGTCCGTGTGAGACGGGGGAATGTAAACCCAGTAGCCACCACCGGTGGGCAGTCTACACTGCTGTTGGCCCTCGTCAGGAGAACTACGGTACTGCAGTCCGACCCCGGAATCCTGTGTTCCCTGTGAAGTGAGACTGTGAACCTGAAAAAAAAAACCAGTAATACTAGTAGTAGTATTAATAGTAGTAGTAATAATATGGAGCAATAAAATAACAGCAATAATATGATGTAACACATATATGTATATGTATATTTATATTTCTCAATACTTTCAAGCATACTTTTAGGAGAGACTATAGTTATAAAGGGTTCAAACTGTTGGTTCGCGTGAGACAACGTGGTGCAATTTTAGCATTTTGATGGACCACGGTTGGAAGGACAGAACCTCATAGAACATTTTGCCACCAAGTGGCCAACTGGCAAATGTCATGTGTCATTCTGCATGTGTGTATGTGTCATAAATAGAAAGAAGAGAATCTGACGTTGTGTCCCGGAGGTACAGAGAACCATCCGTCTTCTCCTGCGTTCGTCCTGATCTCGGACTCGTCGCTGGCCCTGGATCTGTTCTTCTTCTTCGTCTTGCCATGGTCCAGCTGCTGCTGTAATCTGTGGGTGAGTTTCTTAGCCTCATCCATCTCCACCCTCAGCTGCTGGGCTCGGTGCACGCGTCCACCCCGGTGGGAGTTCTGGACGTCGTCGTCCTCAGCTGTCTGACAAACACGAACGTACAGGAAGAGGTATACAGTACGCACGGTCAGACTGGGAGACCAACTGGACCAACTGGATAAACCAACTTGATGAACCAACTTAATCAACTGGACCAACTTAACCAACTAAACCAACTAAATGAACTGGACCAATTAAACCAACTGAACCAACTGAAGCAACTGGACCAACTGGACCAAATGAACCAACTGGTCCAACTGGACCAACTGGACCAACAGAACCAACTGGACCAACTGAAATAACTGTTCCAACTGGACCAACTGAAACAACTGTTCCAACTAAAGCAACTGGACCAACTAAAGAAACTGGACCAACTAAACCAACTGAACCAACTGGACCAAATGAACCAACTGGACCAACATAGTCCAGTTTACAACATTTTAAGCAGTACAGTGGACTACCTTGATATACTATTAACCCCCCCACATCAAAACCAACGATATAAACAAATATATTGATAATATAAAGTCTTCTTCTTTTTCTTTCGACTTTGTCCCTTTTTTTTTTTCAGGGGTTGCCCCAGCCGATCATTGATTTCCATCTCTCCCTGTTCTCTGTATCTTCTACTCTGACTCCAACTACCTGCATGTCCTCCCTCACTGCATCCATATATCTCCTCTTTGGCCTTCCTCTCTTTCTCCTACCTGGTAGCTCCATCTCTAACATTCTTCTACCAATGTATCCACTGTCCCTCCTCTGCACATGTCCAAACCATCTCAATCTGGCTTCTCTAGCTTTTTCTCCAAACCTTCCTGTCTGTGTTGTCCCTCTAATGACCTCATTCCTGACCCTGTCCATTCTTGTCACTCCTAAAGAGAATCTTAGCATCTTTAACTCTGCCACCTCCAGCTCCGCCTCCTGTCTTCTGCCTATTGCTACTGTCTCTAAACCATACATCATGGCTGGTCTCACCACTGTCCTGTAAACCTTTCCCTTCACCTTAGCTGACACTCTTCTGTCACAGATCACTCTCTTCCATAGTCTCCTCTGCTCTGAACAGAAACGTCTAAATGCTCTTTACTAATGTAGCTGCCAGGAATTCTGGACATGAATTTCGAAGTAGCTCTCAGTTTCAAAAAGGTTGGTGACCCCTGGTGTAGAACCTCAGTTTATAGATTTCAATCTTTCATTATTTCTTGGCCTTCTTTTTTTCGGCTATCTGTGGGCTAGTTGTAGCTGTTTTTGTTAGCTTTACTTGTGTTCTAGCAACCCTAAGCTGTTTCCCTATTTTGTTTATCTTTAGGTGTGTATCTTTAGACCATCTTTATTTATTTTCTTTAATCCTGTAAAGTTGGTACACACGTGCTGCTCAAACCGTCTTCAGACGATTCACTGCTCAAATCTTTGCCGATCTGTTCCGGCAGCAATTTTACACCCCGACTCCGCCGAGATCTTTAACATTTCTTGGCGGCCACTGTTCAGACAACACTGTGTCTCTACAGTGAATCCGCCGTCTCCGTGTGGCCCACGATCACTCCTGACAATTTGTACCGTTTTGAGGAAACTCTCTGAGCAGAACTTGACCACAGAAACCCTGGGACATTGATCAAAGCCAGCAGCCATGTTTGTGGGTTGTTTCTGTCCGCTGTTTATTTTTCCTGCAGGCTGAGGGAAAGTGTACGAAGTTTAGTGAAGGTTAGGTGATTTCACACGAGGCTCTCGTTCATCATGTTGGTCCTGCAGCCGTCCCTTGGAGGCAGCAGTGGTGAACGTTGTGGTAACCGATGTGGACAGAAGTAATGCTGGTGCAGATTGTTTCCATATGAGCTCTGTTTTCAGTCTGTGTTTTTTTTTTTAAACTGCTTTTGTTTCCTATGTTAGTCCACTTTAAGCCAGTGAGAAAACTTTGAGCATGTTAGCTGTAAACATCTGCCTCCGCCTCTAACCTGTGAGCATAAATCTACAGCAGGTTCCTGGAAAATCTTCAGAAGAATAGATGTATCCTGATCCTCCGTTGTGTTTTTTTTAATAAAATATAATATATACATATATATAACATATTTATACTGAAAATATAGTATGTTTAGTTTATTACTAACATAACTAGCTTAACTCAACTGGCTGTTCTCCGATTTTGCTCTGCTAAGCTATTTGTAGTTTTACCCTTAGTGAGTTTTAATCACAAAATTTAGAGCTCTTACAATTATCTTTTCTGACTTAACTCAACTGGCTGTTCTCCGATTTAGCTATGCTAAGCTATTTGTAGTTTTTTATGATGTTTGAAGGGAAACTGCTAGCCTGTTGTCTGCTAACGTAGCTTGAAATGTTAACTTTTGTCTGAATAGAACAATTAGTTGGATATGCAAATGTTCATCTTCAGCTAAGTCTGTGTAAAGTGTGTGTCTTTGCTAATTGTACCTGTTTAAGATTTTAACTATCCTGCTATTTCTTGGTAGACTATTATAGCTATTTTTGGCAAATTTAAAGGTTTTTTTAAAACTATCTTTAATATAACCATGGGTCAAATTTAGTTTATTTTCATTCAGCTTCTACATCTTGTGTGGTGATTTTAGCATATTAAAAAATATTTTAGGATTTATTAGGTTTTTCCTAACTACTCCAGGATAAATTATTGACCAATTTTAATCTTCATCTTACTTGTTGGTTAATTGTGTTGGCTAATAGTTGGCTAATTTTGATTAGATATGTCTTTGATCTGTGGTTCTGGGATCGGTATAAATACATGTTGAGTAGCTAACTGCTGCTGCATAGCAAGGGAACAGTTAGCAAAGGGAAGTTATTGCAGTTTACCATATTTTAGTCGCCCTAAAGATTGGAAACATTGCTTTTTTATCTTGGCCGTACAGAAACAACAAGGCTTTGTTCCACACAGATATAGTTACTATGATGGGAGCTGCAAACAGAAGCCCTGCATTTGTTGTTTTTACTGCTCTGACATAAAACAGTGGAATTGAATTTCTGCTCTCACATTCATCTGTCTTTGGTTAGGTTTTCACACAGGGATAGTATCCCTCAGTCTTCATTTTCCTCCTTTATTTTGTTTTTTATTGCTTCTTTGCTCCGGGCAGTTTATTACTGGAGGCTCACGTTAAACAACTGTTAGACATTCATTTATATCATTAGTAAAAGCATCATAAAAAAGGTGTCAAACTAGACAGTTTTTTGCACCTGTTGAATTTGTTTTAGGGACTTTTTATTGTACCTACCCATTATGTAATTGCAACTTTTCTTTGTTTACCTTTAAACTGTTTACTAGAGCTTTTAACGCAATGCTGCTGGTCTCGTATTTTATTTTATTTTTTATAGTTGAATTCCTTCTTTGTCTTTGTCTCAAAAGTACATTGAAGAATTCAAAGACTTCAGGTCAAGAGTGTTGAGGTGGAGTAAAAGAAAAAAAGACAAACACAGAGATTCTGCAAACACAGGCCTGGTTTAATAAAAAGTGAGAGGTGATGAAGACAGGACATTTGATCAGGTCTCAGGTCCAGGTTTAAAGAGGACTGGTTTTTCAGCCTTGGGGCTTCACACATGCTCTGCACTGCGGCAGGAATCAGAACCGTCTGAGTGCAAACACGACAACGGCGCTCTTTGATCAAACATCTGTCATCTCGTCTTCCATCTCGTCCCCCTCTGTTTCACCTTCTGCCTCTTCCTCCTCCTCCTCTTCCTCTGATGTCATGTCCAGCTCGTCCATCTGGGACACGCACCTTGGACAGGAGCAGACGAACAGGTAGTTCTCCCTGAAGGAGAAATAAATATTAGTGTCAGTTTAATCACGATCTTCTTTTACACTCTGCCGTGCAGAAAATGTGCCGCCGAACTTCGCCGGAAATTAATGTTTCATACGGTGATTAACGCTCGCAGTGCAATTAATAGTCTCCAGCTGCTGTGAGATGAGGGCACAGGGTGGTGCCCACATGCAATCATAATTTCATAAAACAACACAGAGTAGCAAATATGTTCGCTTCATCTCAGGAGCCCAGGGTTTGTGGATCTTTAAATCTCCTACACCAAAATCCAGGGAGAGCATTTGAGATTTTAGTTCACAAAGACATAAGGGATGCTGGTGCATTGTTGCCTCCTGTGGTCGGTTTGTTTCGCTGCTAGTAACTTTTGAGCTTAGTGACTGCTGTGTGTTGGAAAAATCTTTTGTCATGGCTTGTGTAGTTTAATTATTTCAAAGGATTAATTTATTTCTAATTAATTTTGTCAGGTTCAGCATCTAAAGCTAGACCACATTGAAAATAAGAGAGAACTTTAAAAACCCAAGTTTCCCCCCGAGGAGGTGGATCATGTGATCTAAACTCGGTGACATGTTGACCTAATGTCGATCAATAAGCAAGCGGAGCAGAGCAGGAACCGTCCGAGCTCCAACACTCCTGCCACACAACTGCCCCTTGTTATTACCCCGCAGAGGGTTTGTATTGATTCCCATCCAGATGCAGGGTTTTTTTTGGTTCCACTTGAAGTCTTTCATCAGGGAGATTAGAAATGTTTACCTGAGGATTTTGTGGCGGCTGTGGCGGCTGCGCTCCCTCTGACAGCAGTCCAAGTAACTGATGCAGATCTCCTGGTGGAGCAGAGAAAGGGTTTAGGAATCCTTTTGTCAAAGTTTTTGCATTTAAACTCCAGGTAGAAGCAGTATAGTATGCAGTGATATTTACTGTATTTGTATTCTATGTTATAACTGACCATATATTTGTATTCTTTTTTACATACTCATATTTATAGTATACTCTTCATAGTATCTGTATCTTATATTAGTATGTATTGCAACTATGTATGTATGCAACCCATGCACAGGTGTATACGTGTCCATATTCATACTATTGTTATTATTGTTGTTGTTATTGCTACAGTTGTTATTGGTATTATTTTATTATTATTACTACTAGATACTGTTGCTGCAACCATTAGTATTATATACTGTTATTAATAAAGTAATCTATCTATCTATAGCCCATAGTCATCTTACATTGACTATAGGCTATAGGCAAAACAACATGCTAAAAATTCTGGCCTAAGGATTTGATTGTCAGTTTACAGAAAAGAAGAAAAAAATCATAGTGAAAATTAAAAAAAAAAAAAAGGTCAAAATTTAGGGGGAAAAAAAAAACAACAGAAAACCCATAGCTAGTATTTAGAAGAAAATAAAATTCCAGCTTGAGCTGTGAAAGCTATTTGAGCTGCTGTGACAGAACTGTGCTGTAGAAAATCTTCTCCGCCTTTGACAGCCTTTGTAATTCCACTTGTTCAGTTCTCCACTGCCGACGAGAGAGACCACACAGAGCTACTGGTCCAGAATTTTTCATCAACCCAAACACAGAACTGACCTCTCCTGGACTGATGTCGCCGAGGGCGCTGAGGTGAAGCAGGAAGTTGTTGTCCGGGAAGGAAGCTTCAGCGTTTGGGGAACAGCTGTGGTTACCTGCGGAGGTCAGTTCACACAAAAACACAGGCTCACACTGAGAAAAGAATCACGTTGCCAAAACACAGGCTCACACTGAGAAAAGAAGCACCGCTGCTACATCACGTTGCTGCCATTCTGGTGTGCACTCACATGAGCTCTGAAGAACAAACAGTCCAGAACCTTCACAGTTTAAGAACTCTCCTGTCTCTGAAGAGAGAAAAGAAACACAGAGACATATTCTAGTCAGGACATTTGTAGACCATCATACTTATGTCCTGTTTGTGATCACAGCAACACTACAGTCATAGTTACAGTGATATTAAAGTGTATTATTGCATGTTATACCTTTAAAATCTTTTTGTAGCTTACAGATCTTTTCTGGATTTTTCATATAGATTCTTTATACCTCTGCTACATTGTATACACACTAGCACTGAGATAACTGCAATATTTAAACAACATTACTTGATAACGTTTCATTTTTTGGTGTGTGACCTTTTTCAATGTCCTTGTACAGCTGATCGATAAAGGAATCCAACTGCTCCCTCTGCTGGACAGGAAGCTCAAGTGCATCACAAGCGTGAACCCATTGACTCAGAGAGCTGCGAATAAACCACAGGAAGGACGAACGATTTTTTTTAGTTCGAAGTAAAGAAACTTGGTCCGGAAACATGAACGAACGGGTGGTTTCACCTGGTTCCGATGCCCTGACCGTTGGTTCCCACCAAAGCAAACAGAGAGCAGAAACCCTCGGGAACAAACCACTGCAACAAGTCAACAAAGTACCACAACGTCAACATGTACTTGTAAGTATCTATCTTATATCTATATTATGATTGTGAGCATCTGCTGGAACCATATTTTTTATATTTAAAAACACTGACCCGACTGAGATGGTCATCATAAAGTGCTGCTCTGAACAGACTGTGTAACAAAGACAACTGTCCCTGTAGAAACAAAGACAGATTCATGGAATTGTGACATTTTACAACAAAACAAAAGTATCTCAGTCATACTGTAGGCCATCATGCTCATTATGACTGCACATAATAATGCTGTTCATCTAACTGTTTGTTGTAGTTGAGCTGTAATTAGCTAACTTACTAATTAGCTAACTTTAGCAATAATTTTAAAGACTCAAGAAATTACTTTTAGTCTTAATTTGATACTATACTTAATACTTGATACTATACTATATGTATACTAACTTTTAAATTTACTAAACTGTTTTCTAATCTATTGATGCCAGGTAAAAATGTTTAATGTTTAACCATGTTTCATATGCCTTTTGGCTACTTTTTTTTTAGCATGTTTAGTTTTTCTTTAGTTCTCGCCTACAGTATTTGGTTTGTGGTGCTAATTTGAAGATATTTTTGCTATAAGTTGCTATAAGTTTTAGTTGATTCTGGGCCATGATTTTTGGCTAACATTTAACTACACGTCTGGACTCACTCCTATGTATAAAATGGTTATTATGTAGGTTTAGTTGATTCTGGGCCATGATTTTTGAGCATGATTTTTGGCTAACATTTAACTCCACGTCTGGACTCACTCCTAAGTATAAAATGGTTATTATGTAGCTATTTTTGCTACAGTACTGTAACTGTAAAATATGTTTGCTACATTTTAGTTTTCTCTATTTATCGACTATGGTTTCCTTTACTTACTGACTCAAAGTAATTTCACATTTTTGCATTTTGCAGGACAGTAGAACTGATGAAGCATCTTGGATGAGAGGAGAAACATCTTCAACTTACTTGAGGTGAGTCCAGTTTCCTACTTTAAAACTGTTTTATGAGATTATTTGTAACTATGTTGTGAATGTTTTGGATAATTTCTATAAGTTGATGTTCAGCTAGTCCATGTTTAGAAGTAGTTTAGTGTTTGACACCATACACCATCTGAGGTACTAGTAAGTATTAAGTATTTCATGTTGAACATGCAACAGAAGTTTTGTTGGGCATGTTTTTATTTAAGATACAAAATATACGTATGTAGCGATGACCCAGATATTTCCAGTGTGTTTTACACCATGGGTGAGTAAACTTTAGCACTTTCCCGTTTGTAGCAGAAAAATAACAAAAACTGAGCAAATAGACTAAGATGCGTGGAGATGAGGGTGACAAAATCTCACTCTGAACTGCTCTCCCAGGAGTTTATGTGCAATCTCCTCGTCCTCATTTGCTGCCCTGCTGCAGAAGTGAGAGAAAAGCTTCTTCCACTGAGCTTTGTCTTTAGCCTGTAAGACACAGACTCATCAGTTTCCATCAATTGGTTTTGCACACTAGATTTAAAGGTGAGGTTTTAATATTGTTTTTGCAGCAAATGCATAAAGATTGTGCAGGCCTGACTAATTCATGGATATGGAAAATAGAAATAAATACACTTAAAAAAAGACACTGTTAACTGCAGAAAAGTGTTTTTGAGTCTTGTTCTGAAAACTTTAAAAGTAATTTTAGGACATAGTTAAATAAATACGTAAAAAAAAAAAAAGGATTTACCTGTTTGACCAGAGCTACCATCCTGGCCATTAGCATGATGCTGCTGGTCTCAGGAGGATAATGCATGCTCCTGGGGGAAGAAAGAGCAGGAGAAGGATGTACATTGAATTCCTTATTAAACGGCCACTAAGGTCAGGTCAAACGGACCCCTTACCTCCATGCATCTTTGAGTTTGTTGAGGGGATGATCAGGATCTTCTTGAGACGGACCCAAACACAAAACACGATGGTACTGATCTGCTGCAGCTTGGCGGCACTCGCTGCTGCAGTACATCACCTGCCAGCCAAGAAGGAGACATGGTTACTCCTTCATTATTTTATTTTTAAAATTAGAATATACAAATGTTTTTATCTGACGACAGAAGAAGTGATAAAAATAATAATAATAAGGTATAGCATCCTTTTCTGTGATGTAACAACAAGCAGACCTGGCATTGCGGACAGGCTTGATGCAGCTCTGGTTTAACACTGCAGACCTCAGGGTGAGGAAGACTGAGTCCAGGTTTTCCACTGAGTCTCCTGGCATTTTCCTCCGCAGTCTCCAGAGCCCGCAGGCAGAATTCACAGGCTGTGACAGGAGGGCAATTAAGAGACTTTTGACTTTAGAGATGTATAAACAAAAAGAACAGACAGCTGCACCATGCAGACTCCTCACCTTTATATTTATATAAAGAATTCCATAGGAATTGGGCACAGACCAAAGGCCGCTCAATGAAAATGGCCTCACCCTTCTTGATGCTTCTTTTAGCAAAAAGACCCTTACCCTGTTTAACAGGGAAAAAAATTAATATTATAACACACAGTGAAAGACGCATGAAGATTTGGCATCGTCTAGGAACTGCTATAACTGCCATGTGAAAATGCTGTTCATTTTGGTTTGGATTTATACATTTCTTTTTTTTTTAATTGGGAAATTAGCAGTAAGTGTGATAATAATATATATATAAATAAATTAACTCAAAATACGTTTAATCTTCCTGTTAAAATAGCTATTCGTTTATCGTCTAATGTTGTTTGCTACAATGTAATACTGTGTTTGTTGCTGTTAAAACTCTTTAATTGTGGTTAATGCGAAATCACGTTAAATATGCTTTGAAACGTTCTGTTTTCATTGACAGCCTTCTGTGATTTTTTGAAATTCTAAAATAGCGTCTGTGACATAATATGGTCTAAAGATGTTTAAGCAACATAATGTGTTTATTTGTCTACAGGATAAATGTTCGGTGACGACAGCGGTGTGTGTGCTCTGCAGCTGTCCGACTGAGAGAAAATCTGCAGCGGCTGCCGTCATTCCGCAGAGACGCCTTCTATTTCACGGTCTGACCTTTTTGTCATGCAATTGTTTTTTAAAATTTTTTTTATTCTGAATGAAATGCGACACGACTCACCTTCACCTTGTCTATTAACCTGACTTCGACAGAGTTTGAGACTTTACCGGGATCCACGCAGAAGGAAAACATGTCATCTATGGGGGCCGCCATCTTTGTTACGAACGAGGGACTGTGAACTTTCAACTATAAGAGACATGGTCTGCAGGGAGACAGCGACCTCTGTTGGTAAGTTATCATTTCTGTTTGAAAAATATCTACGCTGCTGTTTCTTTAAAATTTCAAAGCAGGAGAATTTGCGTTAAATCAAAACTTTAGTTTAGCGATTCAAATGCTTTATAAATTTAAAAATTTAGAAAAAAAGTAGCTAGTAGTAAATTAAAAAAATAAATGTAAACCACAAAAACATCATATATGAGATTGTTTAGCGATTCAAATGCTTTATAAATTAAACAATTTAGAAAAAAGTAGTTAGTAGTAAATTAAAAAAAAATAAATGTAGTAACCACAAAAACATCATATATGAGATGTATTATATAGTTTTATTATTATACAGTTGCAATAAAAGTACATAAATGTTTGTCAATATAACAGTTTTTACTTTATAGTGTAGGTTAAATTTTGACATTTAAAATACTGCAGTGTAGAATTAATAAACAACGTGGCAGTCAGTCCTGGAGTTTAATGCCCTTTGGTTAATAAACTATATTAACGGGTCACTGGAGTAAAGATGTCAAACAGTACAGAGCTGATTGTTGATTCACATTTTTCAGGTTAAAATACTTGAAGTAATGTAAGAAAGTCTAGTAAATATAAATCTACAGTACTGTCTCCACGTGACCTCATAAACAGCCAACAATTCCCTGTATTCCATTTTATTATTAAACAAAGAACTAGGCCAAAGAGCTTCAAGCTCATATGGAAAGTGGTTCTTTAATGACTGGCCACAATGTAGTCATTACCATGTCTAAATCAGCCAGTATTGTTTAGCGTCTATTAGGTGCGTAGAGCATGTTCATTGGGGTCAAAACCACTATTTTGACAGGAAGTAAATAATCTGACTTCCTGAAATGTATTCTCTTTAGCTGTAATATTTTTATAGAAAAAACTTCTTAAAGGGAGAACTAAAGTAAAGATAAAAAGTGATAGCACCAAGTATATTTGACAGAAATTGGCTATTATTTAATGCATGATTTAAAAGTCTGCCCCTGCAGGTCAGAGGTATTACTGTATCTGCTCCTGCTTTTTCACATGGCTTCATTGTGAGACTCCAGATAGGATATAAAGTATTTATTCATATATAATACTGCCCCTTCAAAACCATTCACCGCTGTAATGTATATATTAAAAAAACTTGATTTATCTTTGTTAAAAACTGCTTTTACTGTAAATATATATATTAATTTCTATACACAGAGCTGGTTATTTGTTGTTTAAAATTCTAAAGTGGGTCAGGGTTTGTGCCTTAAACAGGAGGTAAGTAGAACATAGAAATCATGCGTTAGTACATGATGTTCCAAAATATCTGCAGTGATCCTGCAGCAGGCAGTTCCAAAACCGGTCAACAGGAGGAGACGTACAGCAGGCTCACTTTTTGTTTCTCTTCTCTTTCTCTCCTCAGCTCATCCCTCCATCATAAGCCCTTATTGTAGGTCACCACCTCGCAATCTGTTGCCATGGCGATCTCAGGCTCAAGGCGAGAAACCTCAATCTGGAGAAAAGAGAAGAAGCAAAAAAGGTAAGATATACATCTTTGTCTTAAAGACCTAGCTTCAGTGCTGTCTGCAGTAAAATCAGACGCGTGGTCCGAGGCTGTTCATGTCCACTGGTGTACATGTAATGTGACTTTTCCACTGATGCTTTTGAACCCATCTGGTCCTGAACAGGCAGAACACTTTTAAACAGCTGCCACATGATTGTTCATGTACCACATTAAACATCTGCCACATGATTGTTCATGTACCACATGGTGTTCAAAAAGCGGGTAACATGGGTAACATTGGGTAACATGTAAAAAGAACATCTCAAAGCACTTTAAAGTAGGCAACTGGACTCAAGTAAGTTGAAGATGTTTGGTCTTTCATCCAAGAGGCTTCATTAGTTCTAGTTTTTTGGTAGGTATTTGGGGCCTGCGGTCATGGGCCTGCGCAGTATGACCTTTATATGGTCATGTGTGTCATTGGCCCTATGGTGTTCTAGTTTTTTGGTAGGTATTTGGGGCGGGGGGTGTCGAGTAAAGTGGTCATGGGCCTGCGCAGTATGGCCTTTATATGGTCATGTGTGTCGTTGGCCCTATGGTGGATCGTTCCCCCTCCCTGTCCTCTGGGTGGGGGTCGTTGGTGTTACCTGAATGGAAGTGTGAGTTACACCTGTACTTCCTGGGGAGAGAACTAAGGACAGCTGTCCTTAGAGAACTAAGGACTATCTAACTATCACCCACCTACAATGCTGTCCTTAGTTCTCTCCCCAGGAAGTACAGTCGGACAGTAACTCAGACGTGTGAACAGTCGTCTGTTCTGTACCTGTGACATCTGTGGGAAGAGACTGATGGCCACAGGCAGCGACAGACCAAAGGTAACCAGGCAAACCAGACTGTGGATGGGCAGCAAAAATCTGCGGTTCCTCTGCAGGAATCTCAGCCTAACGACATAGAAAGAAAAAAAAACAGTGAAAGAAATAAATCATTGCGAGTCTGAGAACATTCACTGTTAATAATAGACCTGAGGAAAAAAGACTGGAGTGGAATTCACAGAGCCCAGACTTCACACAGTTCCACATGTGAAGTTTGCAAATCAACACCTTGTAGAGTATCAGAAAAAGTCATATTAAATATCTAATATATTTTTAAAAATGTAGGGGTGAAATAACAGGAGTTTAAAATTAATTAAATTTAAACTATAAGTACTATATAAGCACTTTGATTAATAACATACTTGTAGTTTTGCAGTCAAATTATGGACTAGCAACTGGATTTTTAGCACCCCCTGCAAGAAAGGAGGTGGAGCTGCATTCAGACTATAAATAATCAATAATAAAGGTAACTAAAGGGTCATACCTCTCCAGGTAGGACATGATGATGGGGGGCAGGACAAAGATGGGCATGGGCAGAACCACACGTGTGAAAGCCGTCTCCATGATAGCCTGCAGGGAGAACAGACGAGAAAAATGAGAAAAATGTGCACACGCCTCACTGCAAACCTACAAACGAGTTTCTGCTGTTGTTGTTCTAAACTAGCTGAGCAGGAGTCTTTCTATTTCACATCAGCAGACAAACAGCAGGCGAAATGACAGATACTCACATGTTTTGCTGCGATTCTGGAGGACCCCACCACGTTTCCGTTCTGGTCCAGAACATCAATACCTTCTGAGAGCTCATTGTGTCGCATCAGAGCCACGTTACAGATGTTTGCACTGGCTGAGCAAAAAAACAACAGGAAGTTATTAGTGACATTAAAGCTCTCCGTCTATTACAACTGCAACAATTTTCATATTTTACCCACATACTTGACAGTTAGCTAATTGGCTGTTAAATGTTCTTTTTCTTATTCGTAACAGTGAAGTTATTTCTGTGAAAACTTTGGGTAATTCATTGGTCATATTTTTACAACATCTCACTTTTTTTTTCATTTTTATTTTTTAGCTTTTTAACTTTCATTTCTATCCAATTTCCAAACAGTTTTTGGAATTTTGCTTTAAGAAAACTTACATATTTTGTTATATTTTTAGTTTACTTTAACACATCAAACTTGTAGGTGCTATTTATATATTTTTTTAAATGTTTCTAGCTATTTTTTTTCCTATAATTGAATCTACATTTCATTAATCCATCAGCCAACAGTTAATGTCGTCCAGTACATGGACCATTTCATAAGGCTTAAATCAGGGGTGTCAAACTAATTAGATGTGTAGTGGGCCGGACCAGTACAATCATAACATAATTATCTTAAATAACAATAAGTCCATGTTTATTCCCCTTTTGTTTTCCTCCAAATAAGTATATTAGAAAATATTCACATTTAATGAACTATATTTTGACAAAACATCACAAACATGAACTGTTTGTGGATTTTTTCCACTTTCACAATTCCTCAAGTTGGCCTGATTGAACCCCTTAGCAGTCCAGTTCTGGCCCGCGGGCCGTATGTTTGACACCCTTGGTTTAAATTATATAAATTATAAAGAACTCACCCACAGCTGGAAATGGGACTAATCTCTGAATGATCATCCTGGTGGTCGGAGACAGACTGTTGGCCTTTTGAATCAACATATTCAGCCCCACCTGGAAAAAACAAAATTAAACACAGTATAATAAGCACAGTAATTAGTTAGCACACAAACATCACATTTAATAATGAAAGTTCAATACAAGATGTTTTTTTCTGTTGTTTACTCACAGCGATGGACACAGCACTGGTCACAGCGCCTACATAACCTTGAATAAACCTGGAGGTCGGTGTCGGCTTTAAAGACACAATAAATAAAAAGAGTTTTGAGTTAACATATAAATACATGATGTTTGTATTCAACATATTTCTATTCATTACAGCTCGTACCTTGGTGGCGTTGCGGTTGGCGTAGTTGACACAGGCATTGTGACTCTGATTCAGCCACTGTAGGAAGGAAGGAGACAGGGGAAAAGAGCAGTTAGGAAAAAATACAAATGTATTTAGAAATGGATATTATGTTAAAGGTAGTTGTACTGTAGTATGCAGGAAGCCAAATATGCAGATTTGAATTTTTTTTTCCAGCACAGTCTACCAGGAGTACCCAATATGTAGATCGGGGAATCATATTGAATCATATTGTGCCAAACAGCTACAGTACTCCAACATGTAATGTTATATACTTTTGTTTTAGGTTATGTTGGTAAATATATTTAACATTTTTTACATCGGTCGATCACTTTAGCCTGGTCATTAGAATAGTAGCTCCCAAACCAAAAAAGTGTGGACACCCCTGTACGTCGGTACAGTACAGTACAGTCACAGTTCCACACATACAATGGATCAACGACATGAGAGTGTTGTTGACAGTACCTGCCAGATAATGGTAGACACCACAGTCTGATTTGGGAGAAGCAGGCCAATGACCTGGATGAAACCAGAGAATCAGATCTTATTTCTGGACAAAATAAGTCTACAGTCTCATTTCATCTAGTCCCAAACACATGAATGAATCTCTGCACAGCCAAGATTTCCCCATCTCCTCTATGAAATGCATGAGTCAAACGTAAGATGTGACCAAATGTGACACTTACAATCGGTGTTCCGAATGGTACATAACCTGCACAATGAGAACATGATTTGTTTCCCATGTAAAAAATATATATATATGTGGACTTTATGGAGCAAAAGTTGAGCAACTTTAGGAAAGATCTTCATCTGAGGTCGTACCTGACATTCGAAATGGCATGAAGATCTTCTCCCCTGTGTCAGGGTGAATGATGGCCTGCGTGCACAGAGCATGGCATCATCCTCATGCTTCCAGCAGCCACAGGCCTGAATGCATGAACTCAGAGCTCCCTAACCCTTCTCACTGACTTACCTGCTTGATCTTCTGGGCTTCCCAAAGCTGCAGAGACACACAAACAGTATGTGTTAAATATGTAAAAAAAATGAGTCAGAGTTAAACACTTTGAATGTTTGTTGAAGTGACGTCGTATTTGATCAGAAATGACAGGAGAAATAAATAGCTGCCACTTGATTTCTCAGAGACCAATGGCTGGTCAGTCCCTTGGTACAGTGGCGCCTCTAGATACGTAAGACGTATATAATATAAAATGTTTTCTTAATTATTATTATTTTATATTATCAGTATATTTGTTTATATCCATGTTTTTGATGTTTAGATGGGGGAAAAATAATTTAATTAATTAATAGTACTGTATATCTCTGGGGGGTGGAACTAATTGTTTAGTTTTTAGTTATTTTTAACGGGGAAAATGCAATCGACACACGAGTGCTGTGGTGGAACGGATTAACGTCGTATCTTGAGGCCCCACTGTACTTGATACACATATTCTACACATGGATTTTAAAACAAACAACGATTTTTCTATGTAATAAATTAACCTGCAGTGAACACCTGTTTCGGTAATGATAATGATAACAAACGTACTTGACCTTGTAGGTAAATGGTTTCTACTGCTAAACTATTTCTCATTAATAAACTCTGTCCAGATTTCCAGCAACACACAGAAGTGCCAAGCTGAGGATGTTGTACCACCATCATCATCACATCTATCCTCACCTCCTACATCTCCATCTAGTACGCCTGCTGCCACTGCGAGGGACCTGAGTGGACCGCAGCGTATCATCCACTCTGCTAAGAAGGTAACTGGCTGCAACCTCTACACAATTTGTACTGCACTTCCAGGACCCTAAGGTGATCAAAACGATTGCAACCGACCGCTCTCACCCCATACTATAATAATATGATTCTGAAAAACCCAGCTCTGGATGGGACAAAAACTGCGTTGGGCTATGAAAGAAAATTGACTATTTCGGGACTCAAATCCTACAATAACTCTCACCTGAAGATCAGACACTCCAGTGGGAAGAATTCCCCGTTTGTAATCATCCAGGAGTTTGACGCTTTCCTTCAACCTCGTCTAAATCAAAATCAAAAGAAAAACAAAAAGACAAGTAAAACAATATTTATTTGTTTTCCTATACTATATTGGTGTTAAATATCTATAAATATTAAATGTATCCCTAAAACAGGCGTGGGCAAACTACGGCCTGAGGGCCGGATGTGGCCTGTTTGGCTTTTAAATCCGGCCCACCAAACTTATATTATTATTATATTTCTGCCTTTTCCCTGCAATTCCTGCATTTCTCCATTAAATGCTGGCAGAAGAGGCTAAAAGCATTTTAGCATTTAGCCTTTTTGGCATGACTTTCACATGCCATTTTTTACCAGTCAAATTTCAGGACCCATTGTGGCCTGTGAGTCAAAAAGCCCACTCCTGGCCTAAAACCATTCATAAAGATAATCACAAGGTTCTTGAACTTAAGTGTTGGTACATTTACTTCAAACTGAGAATTTTACCTCAGACACAAAGAGAGTACTGGGGTCAATAATGTCCACAAAGTGTCGAAGTCGACCGAGGAAGGAACCCTGAAAAAAAGACCAAGAAAATACAGTCAGTGTCAGTGGGTAAATAAATGTTAATGAAACCATTTCCCCGTGTAGCTTGGGCTGAGTTTTACTGCTCCTCACTTCACTTCTTCTCACTACGGTTTTATCTGTGTCCCACAGCTGCTGTTAAAAAGTCACCAGCAGGTCATTTATGAGCTGGGAAGAATCACCTATAGTACAATTTACCGTCTGAGGTAGGATTACGACTCGACCGCTGCTACTTTTAATCACATTACAGTTGTTCAGTTAACTGCTTTGACTTCATAAAACAGACTTTAATATGGGGTTTGGATCACTTTACACAAAGGTCTTCAAAAAAAAAACTCCAGAAATGTAATGTTTTTAAAACTAGGTCAAAAACATTTTAATTTTTATATTTTAAATATATTATTCCAGATTTATTTTAAATATTTAGATATATTGTACTATAATATTAGCTTTTTGGAGACACTTTTTCTGCAATATAAATTGTATTTTCTCTACTTTGTTAGCTACTATCTCAGTCCCATATGAAAATGCTCCAATCACATTTCACCAAAGGGGCTTTAAAAGCTAATATCATCAGGAAAAAATAACTATTTGGTGACATCTGTTATGGTTGTATTCCCTGGGGGGAAATTAGTTTCTAACTCACCTCACTTCAGCACTTCAGTTCATATAAACAAGACATTACCAAAGAGATCTTTCAGTATTTAATATCATCTTTTTAATTAGAAGAGTAGAATGAAATCTGAATCTGTGATCTTTCTTTTTTTATGCACAGACTTTTATGGAGAAATGTTTTTAGCTCTAATATTTTTACCTATTGAAGAAGCTGCTGCCATGACTGCCGTGTAATTAAAAATATCTTTATGTTGCTGAAATTTTACTCAAGTAAAAAGACCTATCTAAAAAAATACTTAATTTAAAATTTAATTCAGTAAAAGTTACTTGAAATTACATGACACGAAAAAGGACGAGTCTTACAGCCAATCTGCAACTATTTTTTTTTTAATCAACAATTGTGGACACCCACGCAATTATCTTTCAGTTAACGCAGATTATTTTCGCCCACATGTAATTTTTTACCCAGGTATGGATTCTTTTTCAATGTAGCGAAGTAAAATACTCGGTCATTTTACCAATGTACTTTGGTAAAATGACCTATTCCCAAAACTGCAAAACTGAAAAATTACAAATTAATTACAAAAACTACTCAACCACAGTAACATGAGTAAATGTAACTTGTTACTTTAAAAACAAATGACCAAATACTATAATGCACTAAACTTAAACAGTTCACATGAAGCAAACACGGGTCACGGAGTTGCTGTTTCAGCTGATGGTCATGTGCTCTCTTCCCTTATTCGCTCTGCCGTCCCCATTAGAATGCCAATTGCTGAGTTTGCGTGTGTGCCAACAGCCTGAAAAGACCTAACAGCATCTCCCTTTGCCAAGAGTTTGTTTTGTTCGCGGAGCCAGATGGAGAGAAAAACACGGAAGCTTCTGTCAGAGTCACTTCAGAGACGACCGTCAGTTACTGACGGGCAAAGCATGTTCTAACAGACCAGGATTTTAATTTTCTCGGCCGCAGACCGAGACAGTGTATGTTAAAATTACTCAGGGTTTTTTTCAACCTCCTTCACATGTGTCCTTCTCTTCCTCTTTCTCCTCTTTCTCCTCCTCCTCCTCCACTGATAGGCTCCATGTGATGCAGTGTGAGGATGCATGTGAGGGACGGGCTTTAATTATGCATGAGTTTTCAGCTCCCTGGAGAGGACACAAGGAGGCAAGAAGTACGTGCACACACACACACACACACACACACACACAGACACATACACTCATGCTGATACAAGGATTGGCCTAATTTAATCTGCTTTAACACAAAGGAACTGAAACGCAACACAGCACCTTTATTAAAACAGTCACATCTACAGGCTGCGAATTATAAAATACAACGGTTTTTCAAAGCTCGTGTCGTAAATGACGGCTGGTAGAGAGAGGTACAATGGACAAGCAGCATCTAAATGAGACACATCTGGGATCATAGTAATAACACTATATCCCAATAGCAGCAATAACAATGCAACAAGTCTTTTTTTTTTTAAATAATAATATTTAATCATAATAAAAAACTATAATAACACGAGGTTTTTTATTAAAAACCACTACAAACGTTTCCAAGGTGTTTTTGGAGGTCTGTATTTGACATAGTGACACAAAAAGACCACACCAATACCTATCCATAAAACAGTACACCAGCTAAAGTCTATGGTACTTCAAAATATACAAATACAGCGGGTCATCGACATACGTCGGTGTAACAATCCTAACTTGATTTTTGCCGTAGGTCTGAACTCACGTACTGTAGGACAGTACCTCTGTAACTCACCGACACTAACACAGTAGTAACATCATAACGCCATGTGACGATATATTCATCCGCTCAGTTTCCCAACTGGTTCCTGTCCAAACTACTTGGCAGTTTTTCGCTGTACGTTGCAATGATGTAAAAAGACTTTCTTGATTAATTTATCGGTGTTTGTGAGATGACTAACTTTCTTGATTAATTTATCGGTGTTTGTAATGTAAGGGAGTTAAAAACACTGAAGCTGCCGTAGGTCGAGGACGTCGTAAACTGAGAACCTATGTATTTCGTTTTTGTTAACTGGAAAATTATGTTTGTGGGACACACGGATTGGTCAGTGGTTAGCGCTATTGCTTTACAGTACGAAGCTCAGCGGCTCAATCCGCTGAAGTAACTATGGTCTTTCATAAGGGAATTTGGGGGTTTTCTTCAGCACCATGAAAACGATTTGCTGTTAGACGATAAAAACGTAAGCTTGTCGAAAACATGTAAGGGAGATAGTTAAAAACACAGAAGCTATAATGACAACAGTAGCAGTGGATCCACGGCTACTACACGCCACAGTGCAAAACTGACTGAATTAATTCAGATCATTAGTTAAAGACAAAAAAAAGAGAAGCAAAGATGACTTGAATTAGAGAAGGAAAGTAATCTGTTAAGTTTGGACTGCTTCAGCAGATCATCGCCAACATCCAGTGACTTATTTAGATACAGTCTAAATCTGGACTCTGCTTCATGCAGCTCTTCAGGTGAATCATTCTCCACTGAGCTGCACAGACAGAGACAGAGCAAAGAGAAAGAAGCAGCAGCTGTGGCTGTGTGAGCCAACCTGGGTGAAGGTCGTATTATCTGTCCAGTCTCACCTATGCTAATTAATTGGAATAGAATAATGAGACACAGACACAGACTATTAATTAATACCAGATTGTGAGCAGCAGAGAACACTCAAACAACTGAGGGCTTTTCAACTGTCAACCGCTAGTGAGGCAGAGAGAACGTGTCTTCCTTCCTCTATTCCAATCCTTGGTTCTTTTTTTATTTTTGTTTACTTACATATCTTACATTTCTGTCTTCTTTAAAACCTTTCTACTTGCCTCGACATTGCTTTTGTTTTGGGATTTTTGCCTTTTTTCTGCCTTTTTTTAATTGTTTTTTTTTTCTGGTTTTCACCTAGAAACAGCATGCATAGCTACAAAAAAGACACTTTCTTTCTTGCAATACTTGTTTAATGTGGTAAAAAAGACACTTTCTTTCTTGCAATACAAGAAAGAAAGTGCAATGTTTAATTAATGTAAGTATGTTTAATTCCTCCTTCAGTATGTACCTTGTGTTGTGAAGAGTACTTCACAACACAAGGTACTTACTGAAGGAGGAACAAGAGGATAGATTTGAAAAACAGGTACTGGTAAGACCTGTTTCTTAAAATCAGCAAACATCCTACTGGCGACTAAACCATTAAGACCTGTTTCTTAAAATCAGCAAACCTAATCCTACTGGCGACCATGACTAAACTACGGAATAACAGTACTGCAACATCCGAGTCTGGTGTTTTAAACCAAACAGGAATAAATTCTACTCCACCTCTGCAAACCAGTCAAACACTTTATTATCACTTTATTATAGATCATTTATGAAAAGTTCCCTGAGGGCTGTCAATGTTGCTTTTCCAGTTGTATTTCCCATGAACCACATCTGAATCATTTTTAATTTTTAAAAAAACACTTCGGTAAGCATTCTGCTGCAACCATTCTGCTAAACATCTATATAATATTGATGAGTTAAATTGATTAAAAGGAAGAAAAAATAATGTTAAATTGATGAGGTCAGGAATAAAGACTTAATCTGTCTTATGGTTGACCAGCAGCCTGACACCTGACTATGTAAATGATTTAAAAACAGAAATAACACGTGACCGCAAATAGTCAAAGTGATACACAAGTGATGTGATAACATCAGCTTTAACCACAGTAAGACTGAGAGCACCGCGAAGAGAGGAAAAGGTGGGGGGGTGTTTTTCACCAGCTGCGAACAACACCTTCAACAACCAACACAAATGTCATAATTCACATTAAACCCAGCGCTGCTGCCGTGTTTGTGGACTCACCTGATCATATCTGGATCTGCCGAGCTGAAAAACCGGACACGCTGCTGCAGTCTCCGCCATCATAGCTGCAAACTGTACATTTATAATTGATGTAGTTATTCATAAGCACCGAGTCAAGTCCAGACTCACAACTACACTCGAGCAATCTGCCGCCCCGCAGCATGCTGGGAGATTGAGTTTTCTCGTACGTACTCAAGCTCGGCTACTCACCTTCGCCAGCGTGTCCACCGGGGACATACTGTAGTTACAAACCGTCTAGGTTGTTAAATTGTTAAAACATTTTCTGTAAGTTTGGCATAAAAAATATAAAAACGTGCCCGAAGAGTCTGTCCAAGGTTAGTTCAACAAATATGAATATATCAAACAATTAGCCACCATTTAGCAAAAAAGCTGCAGAAATAAAAAAAAATATAACTAAACTTTTAAACATGTATATTCATAATTAAAAATCCAATATTTATGTGGCCCAAAATGTGTTCAATGTTAGGGAAAATATTGAACTGTTAGCTCGTAAGACACCTTCAGGTTAAACGCTAACTAGTTATAGTTAGTTACAGTTACGTGTTATACTGAATAATATAAAATAGAAACGTACGTTACGTGTTATACTGAATAATATAAAATGGAAACGTACGTACCTAGTCGAGAGGTTATTTGATATGAAGCGGACATGTTGTCACTTTAAATTTTAAAAAAAGTTTAGCTATTTGCTACAACTAGCCTGGAATGGCCAATCTTTCTATAAACGTTTCTGAAACGTTCTCCTGAAATGTGTTTATAACTAGACCTAAAGAGCATTTCCTTATTTCTAAATTCCGAGGGTTGCCACTGGAACAGCTAAGTAAGACAGAAAGTTAACTACAAAATAGATTGTGCGAATAGAACCTGCAATAAAATTCCCTCCATTAACAGTTTATCCACTACGCTGCCATTCTTCCTCAAAAATCAATTAACTGAAAGCTGTTATATAAGGGTTGTTATTGATCTGATGTTCGAGATAAAAGAGGAGTCAGACAGAAGTAATCAATCACATCATGAGGGCAGAAATGACAGTGTGGAATTACTGATCAGCTCCTGGAGCCGTTTAATACACAAACATGTGTGACAATGATGATAACACACGGTGTTTGTAATTAATTTTACTGGACACTTTCATTTAACTGCTGTCAGACTGTAGCCGACAGCGAGGGGCCTATGATTTACGACATTAAAGGGATAATTTAGGTTCAACGGAGAATTCAAGTGTAAGCTTTAACTCTTAGCTCCCGTTTCTGTTTTAGTTTTTATTAGGTATTACATTACCTGACCGCTATATTTAAAATGTTATTAGCCATTTCGAGGTCACCTACAAGTATCAACTGTCCAATCTTTCTAGTTTGGGTTTATCTGTTTGTTTGTTTGTTTTTTTGTTTAGCTTTTGCAAAGTTTGGGTGTTTGTTTGTTTGTTTTTTTACTTAGTTTATCTAATAGCTTAGCGATAAATATTTTAAGTGCTTTAGTTTATCGATTGTCAAAGCAATCGTATTGGGTGTGCTGGAGACACCTAACACACAAGTTAAACATATATTTCATGAGGGAATTAAAACAATTTGTGAGAATTTTGAATACGTGTTCGTTGAAACCCGTAATACTACCGATACAGTTTGTAATGTGTGTATCTATAGATAATTTAACGCAGTTGAACCACTGTCCAAATGGCAGCGTAGATGAGGTCAACAGCACCATCTAGCGGTAATAAGTAAACATTGCTTTAAGGTAATTGCAAAATAAGCCAAACGTGACTGATACATGTGCACTTTATTTTCTCAGGACGATACAGTTCTGCGGTCATCGAAAGCCTTGCGATTGCTACAATGGTACTGAGAGAGTATTATATTATCATGACCGATATCTTATCAAGAGTCTCTAATAGAAATAATATTTATTTTCTTTCTCTTTTTTTAACTGAAATGGATTATTCTAGAGAAAAGCAGCCTTTTAACCAAAACAATTACAGAATTTTTTTTTAAAATATATTAGAGCATTCTCTTCATATGACAAAAAAAGTCACAAAATAACAATCAAGTAAGGGGAAGCATCTGTGCCTTTATCCTGTTGTTTTTGTAGCAGCATTTTTCCTCATTGCAGAGCAGTATGTTATGATGTATGACTATAAAGCATTGTCCTACAGTAAATCATTTAAATGTGTAATAAGGTCACGTCGACGTTTTAGCATTAGTTGTCACGAGCACCTAAAATATAACGTCAACTTGTGTCATATTCGTCGCAAATGAGGTTGAAGTAGACTTTTACGTTACGTTGTTCTTGGAAGCACGTGTGAAATAAGTATGTTCATTTATGTTGTTTTGGTTTTTTTGTGGTGTGTGACAAATCGAAACTGTATAGCCAGCATGCATGTAGGATAGATTTCTACACCAACAGGGCAGTTATTAGCAGTTGAAAAAAAAAACCTGGTCACACACAGTAAAACTAGTCATTTGACCCACATACATATGAAACACTTTTTTTTAGTGGCCCATATCTAGTGTCTGAATTTAAATCAGATCAATATGGGCCACTAAATAAATTCATTTCATTTTTGCTTGTGGGCCAAGTGAATAAAACCGTGCGGTCTTCTACTGGGCCTGTACATTTCTGCGTTGTGGTATAAATTGTAGACTACTGTACTTAGTCGTCTGTAGAACTCTTAAAAAGTGTCTGGAAACTTAACCCTGTGTTTTACAGCCTCTTTTGAGGAAACAATTTCTCGACAATAATTTTTTTTTTGTGCAAAACTTCTCCCAACACACTTGTCACTTATGTCTGTTCCGCACTTGCAGCAGGGTTGGCGTCTGCTCCATGATGCGCAGTAAGAGGTTATCAATGTAGTCTTCCAAGTCTCGCACCTGGGCTTTGACTTTTTTTAGCTCGGCCTCACATTTCTCCAGCTGCGCCCCCTGTTGTTCGGAGGCTGCCTGCTGCTTTTGCATGTCCATCTCCTGCTGTAGCAGCAGGGAGATCAGCTCCATGTTGGTCAGGTGCTGATACTGAGCCGTGTTGTCTACAATGGACTCCTAAAAACGAGAAAAGATGGAGAAGGCAGTTTAGTTTAACAAAGAATCACCACATGATAGTCCAGATTGTTGTCAAACTCATTTTGGTTCAGGGCCACATACAGCCTGATTAGATGCCAAGTGGGCCGGACCAGTACAATCATAACATAACTACTTTTAAATAACAACAAGTCCATGTTTTCCCCTTTGTTTTCATGCAAAGAAGTACAAGTATATTAGACAATATTCATATTTAATGAAATGTCATCAGAAAAAACATCACTGACATGAAGTGTTTGGACATTTTTTTACTTTCAAAATTCACCAAGAGGCCCGAATTAAACCCCCCAATGAACCGATTTTGGCCCACGGGTCGTATGCTTGACACCATTGCTCTAAGACATTTCATTTGAGGACCCAATAAACATACTTCTATTGTTCTCTTCCATCATATGGCCCTTATTAAACCCTTCCGAAGAATCTGGCCCACATTAGGCCTTTGAGACAACTCTGTCTACTCCAAAATAAAGCCAGTGCCCTACATTAAATAGAATGTAGGTCACTATCTACTATCTAACTTTTGCACTGAATGTGGGCCACATTCTTCTATTCTTAATTTTCAGTACAGTAAAACATAGACAGACCAACAGAGACCCTACAAACCTGCCTACAAACAAAAGTGAGCAGGAGCAGTTGTGGAGATGTTTGCTAAGTTTACTTTAAAGGAAGCGTTGGCGACAGCTAGTTCACTCTTCGCAGCACAACAAATGCCAGAATTTATCACAAGTCAGTGTAGAATTTCTAAGACCGACCTTTGAGTGGCGCGGCTGATGATGTAGAGGCAGATTAAATGATCCCAGAATACCAGACCAACAACAGTGTGACTTCTGGTGCTGCAGCAGCTGACACGGTGTAGCCCTGTAGCCCTGAGGCTGCTTTTCTAACAACAACACGCTAACTGTTGTGTTTACTCTGAACAGTTGAAACTAAATAATTAAATCATTTGCAAAATGATACGAATGAGAAGTGTTTTTCAGCAGTCATGGCTGGACATCATTCTTATTGGGTTCAGAATATGCAGTAAAGTCACTGTCTGAACAGTAATGAGATCAGCATTTCTCCCCCTGGTGCTGAAAGTAATACGTCCAGTCTAACAGGGAGCTGATAGGAAGCAGTTGAACATGTTCATCTGTGGGGGGGTTTTCTGCTGCTGATTCACAGTAGATTGATGTTTGTATCAAAAAGTAAAACAAAGCTGTACTGTATATGAAAGTAAACACAGATGCCAGTTGATATTTTTCTTTTTTCTCCCACATGTACCTGACTCCTCTCGGCTTCAGCTGCCACCTGGTGAGCACTGCTGCGTCCCGGGTGAATGGTAGATTTGAGTTTCTCCAGGACAGAACGCCCCTCCTTCTTCTCTGATTGGCTGGAGGTCAAAGGTTTCACTGGATGAGGTCTGGAAATACAAAGGTCAGAGCTGACATTTCAGCGTCAATTCTTATTATAGTAGTGTATTCTCTGTAACGGATTAGTTAGCCGTGCTGAAAATGTTTACACATACTTTTCCCATTTATTTATTCAACACGAAAATGGACAATTTATTATTTTCTCATGTTATTGAACTGCAAATAATACATTTCAAACAATACATCAAACAATGGTTGAATGTCCCTTTAAATCAGCTAATTGTAAATGTGAATATGTGAAAATATATGTGGGTAGGGTTACCTTAGTCAATGGCCAACAGCAAAAAATATAGAAGCTAAGCTGCAGGAAAAAGTGTGTGTGTAAACATTTTAGTATAAAGTATAAAAACAATATAAATATATTTTTATTTATATATAATGCCGACCTTTAGTCCCTTAGTTCTAAACCTCATGAGAGTAGATAGGTGTTTGGCCCTGTAATGTTTTATAAGTTTTAATAATCCTCTAAAATAAACATTACATTTTTATTAAAATATAATTAGTATATTTTTGTTAGAATTAAATTAGAGCCTGCATCAATGTTTTAACCACCTAATATAGAAACATCATAAGGAAATTGAAGCTTTGGAAGAGGGTCTGATCTGGCTTTATCTGATTCTTTTGCCAAAACCAAAAGACAATTTGCAAGAAACCTGATTTTAGTCTGTAGATGAGGTAAGATGGTGCAGAAGTCATCCCCTGATGCTTGATTTTTTTTACAAAAATGTAATATTTTGATGGAGGATGTGGATATTTATACATGATGAAAATGAATTTAGCATTTATTAATTCATATCTCTTTGTCGTAGTTTATTTTGTAGGTGGTAAATTCAAAACAAAAGTAAACTACCACTATATAAATGACAGCAGCCAAAAGAAACTGAAAGATGGGATGGGAAAAACCTCAACAGAAATGAAAAGTAGAGCAAAACACTCCTCATCCAAACAGACAGGCTTTGGATGGAACAGCAGAACACAAAGACAAGTGAAAGCATTTCACACAAAAACAAGTCAGCCATAAAGAAAACCAAGCAACAGTTCAACACAAAAACCACACGTGAAGTAAAGAAAAAAAACATCTGAGAGATTGATGAAACATGTCCTGTTATCAAATCTTTTAAGAACCTGGTTTGTGGATTTCTCACCTGCTCTCCTGACGGGGCAGGTTGTTAGCTGACTGTGTCTCCTCAGGCAAAAGTGAGGGGTGTACATCGATTAGGGGCCGGTCAGAGGTGGAGGTGAAGGTGGAGGAGATGTAGGGGGCCACAACCAGAGTACTGCTGCCTTCAGTACTGGGGCCTATGCTTGTGAGGTTTATGGAGGGACAAGAGGCTGGGCTAGGGCTGGCTATAGTCTGGAGGAAAGCAGAAGGAATGGAGGGTGTGCATAGTGGATGTTCTTGCAAAGATCCTCCAATCATGGACAGAGAAGGACTTCTCAAGTTTGGTGCTACTTTGGCATGAAGGTCTAAAAAACTAACCTCGGGCGGTTTCCCCGTTAAACAGAACTTTGTAAGACGAGGTACATTGTTTTTTACGTTTTTTTGAAGGGGTGTGTTGGTATCTTCTTGCAAGCCTAAGAGTCTGAACGACTGAGTAACTCTTTGTACTACTAGTGATTCACTGGCTTCTGGAATGTTCCTGAAAGGGGACAGATCCTTCTCCAGCACATTATCTCCACTTCTGCTGTGTGGCTTTGGACTGGCCACCCCTCTAGGTCTTAAACGTGCACTAACTACCCCAGAAAACATCTGGGTCTGCTTCAGCTCAGCCCGCAGGTTACCATTATCGTCAATACCCTTTTGTGTCTCTCGGAACTCATTATCACTCATTGTTCCAACTTGTCTGAGTTTAGTTTCAAGAATACTCAAGTCAGACTTCAGTTTTGAGGGTGACAATATCCCAGTTTTACAGCCAGTTTTTGTGGAGTTATTACAAGGTGGACAATCCCGGCAACTCCCTTGGCAAACTGGAGATACCTTGCACAGTTTACTGGGTGAAACAGTAATTTCGTTTGTCACAGGGTTTTTAGCATCCGTCACAGAGTCCATGTTTGTGTTCTCTAAGGTGTCCCAAGGTGTGTCGTCCTTCTTTAAGGTATCCTCAGCCCTGCACGTGTTCTTGAAAGTCTCCTCCAGAATGTTGATGCTTTTTGAGGGGTCCTCAGATATCTTCATGTCATCCATGTCCATGTCCTCAGGTATAATCTCTTTCTGGTAATCAGCTGTTGGAGAATCTTCTCCAGTTTCAGGGGAAAACTCCCCTAAACTCTTGATACTTTTGAGAGTATCGGCCACCTCTGATTGAGAGGAACCATCGGAATCGATAAAACCAAAGTCCATGTTGTCCACATTCATGTTCAAATCTTCCAAAGTCAATGAGAAAGACACGTTATTGTTGGCACACATGTCTTCGGTCGGGTTATCCTGCACTGCTTCTTCAACTGGACTACAACTTCTATCCAGATCCTTGAAGTCAGGATTTGTAAAGTTTGAATTTGACATGTTCAAAAGTTCTTTAACAGAGATTTTGCTCTCAGGAAGCACTGAAGTGTTCTCTTTTATGGCATTATTTGTAGAATTGTTTTCAGAGGTTAATGACAAATGGTGACCACTAAACTTGGGTTGTCCACAGTTTACTTGATACATTCGTCCGTACAGGTCCTGTTCAAACAGCATCCCTCCCCAGCAGTTAGTTACGTCTTCCAAAGGTTCGTATTTGAACTTTTTTGGCTTTTCTTCACAGATGAAAGCTGTGGATGTTGTGTTTGTGTGCCGTTTTGAGGGAACGCTGCTAGAGTCGGATGTCTCACTGTTTGTTTGCGAGTCTGGAGAGGCAGTGCTTCGTCCATGATGACGTGACGCTACACCAGTCTGGGAAAGCAGATAGGCTTCTTTGTGGACGGCCAGCTCCTGACCTCTGTGTAGCCATCCGTCAGAGTAAATCTCATTCATTTGTGTTCTTAACAACCGTCTGGGGGGTAAAGGTGGAGGCTGCAGATCCTGAGTAGGATTTATTGGATTTCTAGATCTATAGAACAGTGTAGGACTTGCTACTAGATGTTTCTGGGAAGGAGCACCTTTTGGGGAATTGATCCTGCTGGAAGCTAGAGCCTTAAAACCATCATCCATATCTCCTGACATGGAGCGTTGGAATAGATGGTTTGGGGAATGGGGTATAGTGACTCTGGGTAATAACGCAGGAAGAGATGTCTGTCTTGCTACTGGTCTGGGGCGTTCACGCCTTATGGAAGAGTTACCATCACAGGCAGGGCTGGGTGTTGAGGACAGACTGATATAATGAAAGGGTGAGGAACCAGCAGAGGGTGAGGCAGAGAGAGGAGGTGACCTGTGAAGGTCTTCACCTACCAGCTCTTCAAAGAAAGGATTGCGTTGCATTTGAGGGAGAAAAGGGTTGGACGGGGAGACAGGAGTTGAAGAAGGAGAGTCACAGGATGTGTGGTCATCAGGTGAGACCTGATGAGATGGGGAGGTGCAGTGAGGGGAGAGGGGAATAGGGGAGTGAGGAGAAAGGGGAGGGAGCATGTCTGAGCTGCTTTCTACCTTAGGAGAAACTTCCAGCCTGTGAAGGAAAATAGGGTTCTTCTTAGTTCATGATGTTCCAGGTTCCCAACGAATTAGCAGAGACAAAACTCAAAATCACATGAAACCATAAGGAGTAATAACAAATGAGACTTAAATGAAAATATAAAAGCACATATGCAAAATAATCAAGCAACAAAGTAATAAAAAATAAAGCGGTGTAGGCATAAATGATCATCTATGTTTGGTATGAGCGCATGGAATTTCATCCTTTGGTAAGGAGCAGTTTTTTCTAACCCACAGTGACTGTGCATCTTCTATGAAACAACAAAAATGAAAATTGAAATACACATGGATGATGATACAGCATGAAGCAGGGAAGGTAGAAACACTTTCACTGGCACTGGGTGAAAGAACAATTCCTGGAACCTTATAATAAGAACTCTTGACTCATTCTAAGAGTCCAGGAATTGTTCTTTTGTCTGATTTTGATACCTTGTCTTCTATTGGAGTACAACCTAGGCTGGGAATAGTTTGCACTACAACAGATAAGATGAACCACACATACTTTGCAAAAATGAACAACACAACTCACAGCTATTTTACCATTATATTAAGGTGACTGTCACGACTACTTTCTGAAAACTGAAAAATTAACTATTAGCTGTATTAGCTTTAGTCTTTTATTCTCAGTTTTAATTTTGTGATGGAAATGTTTTCTATTCTTGGCAATTTCTTATCTGCCCGTGGTTAAATGTCACCTTTTCTTCCCTTTTTTTTTTTTTTGCTTTTTGTATTTCTACATGTGTTATAAATACCTGGAAGCTAATACTTAGCAAATTCACTTCTTACAGCCTTACTTTTTTTTAAAATGTCTGCTGGCTTCTATGGATTGACATATTTTCTTAATGTAAATTGAGGTATTTATTGCCAATGTTTAGCAAACGTTATCCTTTTTTTCCTAGAATTTTGCTATTTCTGGTCAAATAGTTTAAACAATATGAATATATTTTCTCTAACTACATGCTTTTGTTGTAACATGTAGGACAAACACATCTTTTGACTATTTTTTCTTGTTCTGGCTTTTACCTACCGAACCCCTCGTTGCATATTTATCCTATAATATGGGTCACTTCTTAGTAACTATCTTGACTTTTAGTATTTATGCTTCCTGGACTAGATTCTCTCCTTTTTGATGCACATTGACCCAGTTTGTTAACTATGCTGGAACGCTCTGTAATTTAGTTTAGCACACTGAAACGATGACTCACCTAGGTTTGTTCTGAGAATCTCCAGAGCCAAACCATCCTCTCAGCCTCCCCTCGGAGCCTGAAGCAGCCTGATTCAGGTCTGATTTCACCGGCAGAGACTCACTTCTGCCTCCTGAGAATAATGACTTCCGTAGCTTCTTCCCTTTTTCAGGTGAACCTCCAGAAGACGAGGCGGATGAAGACCCAGCCTGGGTGGATCCGCTCTCTGACTTAGCATGCTGACTTGGAGGAATTTCTTTTTCTTCCTCCTTCTCTTCTTTTCGCACCTTGTCGAAAGACCAGCGGCGTCCCTCTGAGAAGGAGACTTTGTCCTCACTCTTCTTGGTCAGGTTCTGCAGGGACCGGGACAGCGGAGAGCATTTCTCTAAAAGGACCAGCTTAGAGTGAAGAGCTGCTGAGTTCTTTGGAGTAGATGGCTCTGACTCATAGACATGGCTTCCATTGATGCACAGCGAAGACTTGGACTGGGTCATGGACTGACCCTTCAGAGACTCCACTGCTAAGTTTGTTCGAGGGAAGGCTGTGGTGATCTTGCTAGCTTCATCGCTCAAGGCGCGCTTGTGTGTGAGAACTTTGGTTGTGTGCTGGCTGGTGAGCACTGTTGGACACAAGGACAGAAAAAAATATGTAAGGAGGATTCTGCACAGTAGAAACCACACCATAATCTATGATAAATCAGCTTTGAGGATTCTGGTCCCCGTAGAGAAAAGGAAAGGGTTTCCATATTTTTCATTACTACAAGGCCAGATATCAGTGCAGGAACTTCAGACAGTACTGAACTCATTTTTTAATAAGCACCTAAAAATTATAGACTAGAAAACTAAATCATAAACCAAAACTTGTTGAAGAACAAGATGGACCTATTATCATGAGCTGAGAACAGAGAAAGTAAATCATTTTGACAGCACACCACTACACACGGTATCATTTTGACAGCACACCACTACACACTACGAAAAGCGACCTCTGCATTTGCACCTCAGTGGTAACTTGGCAGTTTTTTGACTCGAACCTAAAACCCAAGTCTGCATCCTTGACCACCAAGCCACCACTGCCCAATAAGCAACCAGTAACTAAGCTACCACTGTCAGTAAAAGGACAAGGACCAAGATGCAGAACAAAGTACTGTACAGGTCTGTGTGGTATTGTGTGCCCATAAAGACATGAATAATTTAAATCTTTACCTTTTTTTGCTAAATCTGTTTCTCCTAAGTGAGTGTCCACTCTGACTTTGCTCGTGTAGATGGGGGAGCTGGGAGGGTCTGACATCAGGTCCAGACTGGGTGGAGGTCCAGGGTTATCACTGGCCATGGAAGACATGCTGCTGTCTGAAGCCAGAGATGAACAGGACCTAGTGTCTGAAGACTTCCTCAGCTTCCCTTTGAAGAAATCCTTCATCTTGCTTCTTTTCTCCTCTGAAATCTCGACATCACCTGAGTCCTTCACCCCTCCGCCTCCTACTTCTCCACTAAAACTATTCTCCTCGAATGACTGTCCCAGAGATCCTGACAGCGCAGCGTAACGACCTGGAACGATGGCAGAGGAGGACTCCACATCCCCCTTCTTTTTCCCCGTGACACGGTCTTTAAGTTTTCCAAAGGCGGATCGCGGTTTGTCCTTGATGGTTAGATCGAACATGCTGGCCGTCATGTTGTTGCGGGTGAACTGGACAGTCACCTGGAGTTCACCACGTTCCTTTTCCTTCCTCCCTGCTTTGGAGTTGAGTTTGAACCATCTGGGGGAAAAGAAGAGCAACATAATCACTGACACCATAAGACTTAAAAAAAAGGGGGAATTCTTGGAAATTCCTTTTGCGTTAGAAGAATCTAAGGTCTGTGTACCACTCCTTGATTCTCAGAATAGATTGGTAAAACGGTTCCTCTAACTGTCTTTTAGTTCCTGGTCAATTCCATGTAGAAACACTCCTTGATTCTCAGAATAGATTGGTGAAAAAGTTCCTCTGTCTTTTAGTTACTGGTCAATTCCATGTAGAACCATATTAATCTTTTGTTTGGGTTGAAGTTCCTGGTACTAAGTACCATATGGGTCAGATCTTTATAGCCAAAAATGTTTGTAGTAAAGTTAGCGTCTCATCTGTCTGCTTCCCAACATTCCACATATTCTGTTACATTATCCTGAAATAACACTGAGGGGTTTAGTCAGTAAAGAAAAATCTTAGAACATAAAAACGAATTGTTGCAGGCAAAAGAATTTACTCCAAATTCCCTTCAGTCCACCCACACACCTTTGTCCAGCACGAGCTGGGCCAAAACTGTGAACACTGCGAGGAGTCATGCTTTCTGTGTGTTTTCACAGTGGACCAGAGAGTGTTATCGAGCCAAAACTCGCAGCAAAAATCCAGACCAAAAGCAGAGGAGCGAGTAATGAAATCCAGATGTTTTGTACAGTACTTTCACATGTACCTTCACATGTTACTGGCATATCGCCTGGGGCTCAGTTGTGGCCTTCAAATACTATATTTGAAGTAAGATTATATATGATTTTTTTTAAAAAAACATAGTAAAAACAAATGACTGACATGTAGTTCTGTTCTTATTTAAAACAGTTAAGTAAATAACATGTGCATTTTAGAGGAGGTCCAGTCTGGAAGTGAACTGTGTTAAAACGACAGTCACTACAGAATCATGCACAGAAATGCAGTGTGAGGTTCAGAGCTAAAAAAAAAAAAAAGAGTCATTATTCTGCAAAAGGGACAGTCAGCTGAGAACAATCTGGAGAGAAAAGGATTATTTAGTTTGTACTTCATTTGAATTTTTTGTCATTAGAGATGTTAAGTACGGTCTGCAAAATTCTAAATTCTCTGATTTTTTAGTAGTAATAATGTATTTATGTTTAGCAATGCTGCATCGAAAGGAAGTGAAAACATATAGGGAAATAACTTTTTAAAAAAACATAAAAAGAATAACATGGCAAATTAAACTGGAGATGATCACACACAGAAAGTTGGTCCATCTCTAACAAATTCCATAGTCTGAGGTCATACAGTACACCGATGTACACGCAGCAGATTCTGTTGCGGTGATTCGGCTCTGACCTTGCATCATCAACATGTTCTCCAAGAGCAGTTTTTTTTAATCAGACCTTGTACAGGTGGAACAAACTGATCTATTTATATCTGAGCTGAGAGAGCAAATGTGGTTAGAGAGAGGAGCCTGATAACGTCTCAGAAGGTCTGAGAAAGGACCGACACGGATACCTCAGGTTACAGAGAGAACAGTTTCCAGGAACAGCAGCTACGGTCAAGAGAAACCGTTGGAAAATAAAATGATGAAATCCTGTTTTCACTGTTGAAAAAGGGTAGTCTTCGTAAAGTGCAGTGCATTGTGGGTGGATGGTAGTTGTAGTCTAGGGTAAATTGATAATAAAGCAAAACACTCAGCCCTCCCCTCTCTGCAGCCTTTCACTATTTACATATTACCCAGAAGATTGTTCTCTCTTGTGGCGCTTTGGCCCAGAGGCAATGTCTCTGTCATTGGTGTGCAACCCCAGGGTTCACCTCCTGGGCAAGTTCGAATCCCGGTTAGGGCAGTTGGTACTTTCCAGTGGACTCACCACCCGCAGGAAGGTTTGGGGGGTTGGTACGGTGCAGTGTGATCTGGGTGGCGACTGCTGCTATGGTTTGACTGACCATCTGGGTATTTTATTTCTGTATAAAAATGGCCGAGTATTCTTCACTTTAATGTTGTTGATAATTAAAACCGGCTTCTGCACTTTTGCTTTTAATACTTAATGAAATCAACTGTAAAAATGTAGGTATTACATGCACCGGCAGGGAACTTTAGCCGTTAAGGTCCTGTTCCAGAGTTTAGAGTAAAACTGATTTGCATTCAATAATAAGTCAAACACAACCTACTCGTCTCTCGGACACATCCCCTCTTGGAAGATCTTATCCAGAGGGATGATGGTCTGACCCAGAAACACGTCCAGACCAATGAGAACCCGGTGCATCACGGTGAAGACCAGATCTCCGCTCCCCGGGGGGAAGCAGCTGCGGCTGCCCTCCTCCAGGATCCCGGGGAGCAGCTCGAAACAGCATTCCTCATTCCAGGCGGGCATCTCCGCCTTCTCCACCAGGCCGGTGGTGTACTTCTCCTTCCCCATCTGGATGATGGTGTAGAGGTAGCGGCTGCCGTGTTTGCCCTTGGTGCGCAGTCCTTTGGCGCGTAGCACGGTGACATTAACGTGCGTCGGCACCCACCGTTGATCATCATCCAGATCTATCAGCGACATCATTGTTGCAGCAGGGATGTGACGGGAGACCCCTTCTCTAAACAGCGGCCGCTCTGCAGCGTCTCTCTCTCCGGCTGTCGGTCGGTTTGGGAGGGATCATTCCCCCGAATCACGCCACAGAGTCGGTTCTGCGCAGAAAAGCCTCTTCTGCGGATTCTGTCCGAAGTGCGCCGAGCCTCAGAGAGTTTACGCGAGGTCACTTCTGTTCTGGTGACGCCTCTGTGCTCAACTTGGATCTTCGCTACGTGACATTCCCAAATTTAATCAGTGCAAACCACGTTAGCGGATTCCCGTTATTATGATCCCGATATCTGGCTGCCTGGAGACATGTCACTTTCACTGTCCTGTCCCAAATCTGCTGTTGGTGCACGGCCCGCCCTTGCACGGCCCGCCCTCAGCAGCAGCAGCAGCAGCAGCAGCAGCAGCAGCAGCAGCAGCAGCAGCAGCAGCAGCAGCAGCAGCAGCAGCAGCAGCAGCAGCAGCAGCAGCAGCAGCAGCAGCAGCAGCAGCAGCAGCGAACAGAGATGCTGCAGAGGTAAAAGAGAAACCCCCAGACACACTGACAACAGCACACTTCACTGGACTCCACTCAGTCAGAAAACACAGCTCTTCTTCACTAAAACCAGTCAAATGTCTAAACCTGAACAAATAACCACCTTTAACTGCAATATATAAAATATTTAAATTGTAAAAAAAAATACGATTTCACATCATTGTGGAGATAACCACCTTTAACTGCAATATATAAACTATTTTAAGATTATAAGAGATAAGATTTAACTGTAAGAACCAAAAAAGCATCTTATTTCACTATTCATCCAACAGCATGCACCTGATAATGCTTCATATCCATCAGCATTGTATCGCGCAATATTAATATTTATTTAATGTGCTTTTTTTCTTTTTTATCAGTTGTATCGCGCAATATTAATATTTATTTTATGTGCTTTTTTTCTTTTATCAGGATGGCCACCGCACGTCACTGGGGAGAACCAGTACTATCTGCTGTCGGAGAAAGGCACCTACAGTCATTCGCTTCAGTGGGGAGGAGCTTACTGATAACGGTCTCAGATGGCAGTGAGTTGGTCCCACAATGAGCGGTATGTTGGCACTCAAGGTCAACTGTAGGGGGCGCAATGATATTGGAACGTTTGTATACAAGGAAATAAGGACTACGTTGTACGTCCTTATTTCCGGTTGCGGTGTGTTATGCTAACACTGTTAGCCGTTTGAGCTTCCGGTGGGCGTTGACGTACATCAAACTGTACACAGTGGCTACATGTGATTGATTTAAAAGGTGGGTTTTTGAAAACAATTATTGGTTGTATTTTGTTTGAAATGGTAGTCGTTCAGCCGAGGCCGTTAGTGCAGTTTACGCAAGCATATGCGTCTCTCGTTGCGGTGGTAAATAAGACATTGGCGTTTGACAGACCTTAAAGGTTATGTTATCATGCTACAGCACAGTGTTGTGAAACCAATAAAAGCATAATAATTGTAATATTGCGATTAATTATCTGACAGTTGTTGTACCAAGTAAATGTGTATACTATTGTTATTCTAAATTAAATTGGTTTGATGTGTATGTATAGTAAAGTATACCACATACCTGTGAGATGTGTATACATAAGCAGAACTAGTATAATTATATGGATGTTAGGTGAACAAGTGATATGAAATATATGCACAGTGTAAACATGAAATAAACAGCTATATAGGCGATTCCAGCAGACTGATTAGTGTAAGTGTTTAAATGTATTTTGGTTAATTTCTGTCACATGCTTTATATTTTGGTGTTTAATTTTTGCTCCGTGTCCCTTCTTTAATGCCTGCCATCAGAATCGATTAAAACGACATGTTTTCCACAGACAAGTAGTGACTACGTTGTAGCTGCTTTTAAGGAGAACCATGTTAACATGTGACACAATGACGTCTTCTAACCTGCAGGGTTCTTCCAAGCTGTGTACAAGGAGGAGTTTGGCAGGAGTCAAAGGTCATTCTGGTCCCATCAACTGTGTGGCGTTCCACCCTGACTGCAAGAGGTAAATGAGACCAACACAGCTTTTGATTGTTCCAGAAATAGTTACATCGAGGGCAACTGGACAAGGTAGGTTTTACCTGTCCTCAAGAGGCTTCTTTAGTTCAGCAGAACTAAAGAAGCCTCCTGGATGAGAAATGTCTTTAAAAAAACCAAAAAAAAACGACTTCGTCCAATTGCCCTTAATGTAATTACTTTTGGATTAAATGACTGAGAACCTACACAGACAACTTATGATTGCATTTTGTATGCTATTGTCATTGTCTTAACAGAGTGCAATGGAGAAGCAACTTTATTTGAAGCAGATCACTTGTTGAGTAAGTATTTTACTGGAAAGTGTTATTCAGCTCATAATAAGGCATGTTTTGGGTGATTTTTGAAATATTCATATAAAATATTTTTTGGACTTTTAAACACAAAATATTCACTTGGCAGCATGTTTTAGGACATAATCTTGCATTTTAAGGCATTTCTGGGACTTTTTATTTTTATGGATATGTTCACGATGGTAAGGCTATAGTAAGGCATGTTTTGGGTGATTTTTTTTAAATATTCATATAAAATACTTTTTGGACTTTTAAACACAAAATATTCACTTGGCAGCATGCTTTAGGACCTAATCTTGCATTTTAAGGCATTTCTGGGACTTTTTATTTTTATGGATATGTTCACGATGGTAAGGCTATAGTAAGGCATGTTTTGGGTGATTTTTGAAATATTCATATAAAATACTTTTTGGCCTTTAAAACACAAAATATTCACTTGGCAGCATGCTTTAGGACCTAATCTTGCATTTTAGTGCATTTCTGGGACTTTTTATCTTTATGGATATTTTCACGATGGTAAGGCTATAGTAAGGCATGTTTTGGGTGATTTTTGAAATATTCATATAAAATACTTTTTGGACTTTAAAACACAAAATATTCACTTGGCAGCATGTTTTAGGACATAATCTTGCATTTTAAGGCATTTCTTGGGCTTTTTATTTGTATGGATATTTTCACGATGGTAAGGCTATAGTAAGGCATGTTTTGGGTGATTTTTTTTAAATATTCATATAAAATACTTTTTGGCCTTTAAAACACAAAATATCCACTTGGCAGCATGCTTTAGGACCTAATCTTGCATTTTAAGGCATTTCTGGGACTTTTTATTTTTATGGATATGTTCACGATGGTAAGGCTATAGTAAGGCATGTTTTGGGTGATTTTTTTTAAATATTCATATAAAATACTTTTTGGCCTTTAAAACACAAAATATCCACTTGGCAGCATGCTTTAGGACCTAATCTTGCATTTTAAGGCATTTCTGGGACTTTTTATTTTTATGGATATGTTCACGATGGTAAGGCTATAGTAAGGCATGTTTTGGGTGATTCTTGAAATATTCATATAAAATACTTTTTGGCCTTTAAAACACAAAATATTCACTTGGCAGCATGCTTTAGGCAAGTGCTTTTAAATTATAATGGAACTCTTGTTTTTCAAACAAACATTTGGTCGTTGTCGAGCGTGTATGGATGTCACGAGGGGAAAGTTTAAACTACATAAGGACCAGTTTTATGTTATGTTGGCCATTTTATGGTCACTAGTGCGTTTTTTTTCTTTCTCGATAAACATTTTTTGGGGTCAAGTTAACCTGCTAGCGTGTGTTTAGTGCTGCGGTGCAGCGTTCTCATCCGTGTAAACACTCACTGCACAGCGAATG